AAAAAACCGCAAATTTCTTACGCAGACTGTGAAGTTATGAGTGCATTTCAGACTTTGCCGATGCGCTCATCGTGATTTTTGAGGCATTATCTATAAGAAACAACTCTTAGTTTTGCTCTAGCAAAAGTTTGCAACAGGCCCATTCATTTTTGATGACATTATCATTTGAAAAACGTACTTGTCTACAAATTGATATTTAGCAGAATAAATTTTTCTGGTGATGTTTAAGCTAAGTAAAAAAAAAAAAAAAAACGGAAATCGGAAATTTTTTGAAAAGAGGATTATTATTATGTCAAAAGTAAAAAAATCTTAGCAATTGAAATCATGTCTATTTCGAAGGAGGCTTTCAATAATAGCTATTCAAACAATCAAAGAAAATTGTAAAATAGATTTGAAGGGACAAATCTATATAAGGCCTCATCGTCAAGGAAATTTTGAAATGAAAAGTCGAGTATTTACTTAACTTACGTACCAAGACTACCTGTTACAGAAATAATCTAGTTTCTCTAAAATATCTTTTGACAAGTTTTTCAAATTATTCAAATTCGCTCAGAAAATTTTTCAAGAATTGAGTGTTATTGTCAGTTTAGTAAATTGAAGAGTGGACATTTTTTTTTCCAAATAAAAATAATCTCAAAGTTTCTCTGCACCATAAGAGGTATCCAAGAAGCGATTTGCTGGATCCGCCAATGCGCCACTGACTACTGACTGAAACAATTAAGTCGAGAGAATAGTTTTGGAGGACGAAGTTTCTCATTTGAATCGGCAAAAAAGATAAAGATTTCATGGAGGCCATATCATCAAGTGTATGTTTAGAGTCCCTTTATACCCAGAGTAACGACAACTCGATTATCAGCTGACTGGCAGCCGACCTTGGCTGGCCATGGAGGCCGAAACTAGTGCACTCAAATGAACGATATTGAGGGATAAGGATCAGGAATCCTGCGATGTCTGTCACACAAAAACAACAACATCAACAAATTGATCAATTAAAACGAAAATTAGATTGGTTTGTGAATAATTTCTTAATCTATTTTCATTTTAGACCGATGGAAATAACAATTTACTCTTGATAAACCACAATTAGGTAATATTTTCATTATTCTTGTTCACATTCGAGGTACCGCCATCTTGGTGCACTAGTTTCGGCCTCCATGAGCGAGAACCAATCAGAATTGGATTTTTTTTTAGGCCACTTTCAGCCCAATCCTGGCCCAACCAAAAGTGAGTTGTCGTAACTCTGGGTATAAAGGGACTCTATGTATGTTATGCTAAAAGTTGGATATTTACCCCCACCCCCTTACCCCACAATGCAGCGCAGGTTTCCCTCCCCCATGTGGAAAAAAAGAACTGACACTTAAACCTTTTTTTCTCTTACTTTTTTCTCTTCGTTAAAATTTTGAACAGAGGCAAAAATGATTGAAAGAGGAAATAAAGACAAAATGAGAGGTCTGAAAATTTTCAATGTAGTTATTATCCAGAGGAATTACAGTATTTTTAATCATAAAAAAAAGAAATAGAAGAGAAAACAACAATAGGTAGGTGCTGATTCAATCAGCAATTAAGTAAAAAAAATGCAGAGTTGTGACGTAACGCTCCGTGATGCACTTGTAACACAGGTGTACAGTACTTCTCCCCCCCCCCTCTCATAGCGTTAGGTGTTTCATGGATGGCCCCTAAGAGGGAGTTTTTCAAACTTTTCTCCATCATTCTATTGGCAACATTCCATACCTAAACATTGTCAGAATTTCCTGTCCCTCCTACCTTCAGGAGGCAACAGGGTGGTAAAATTTCATGAAAATTAAAATCTTGAAATTTCACGTGAAATATAGACATTTATGAAATTTATGGGAAAAATTGGTTATTTTCATGTTTCGTAAAATGTAAAAATTGTGACTTTCTGCTATTTTTTTGTGTTTGAGTGCGGGTTGCATACTCTAGCCCCTGAAAATTATGAAATTTCATGAAATATTTCGCTGAAATTTACAATATTTCATTTCTTTGCTACGTTTATCATGCCAGCCTGCGGGCCGATTATATTGAAAGTTCAAAGCAGCCCGATACTACATCGAATTGCGATATATTGCATGGTTAAGATAGGGCTAAGTATGTCTTGTCGTATTGGACTGACATAGTTTCAATAATCGGGCTGCTGAGAGGCAAACATTCGGAACTCAGAAACCGGAGATCTTAGGGGAGTTTTTTCTGGTTTTTTCCATCGCGGCTCTCAAAAGTCTTGACAGCCAGGGGAGCAGCTAAGTAATGAAGATACCTTTGAAGCACTGATCCTTGCAACAGATAAATGAATAAGTAGCGCTGATTAAGCGATCAAGCCCCCTGTATAGATGAGTCTCGAGGATTACGCTTCAAGACTATTGTGCGGCGGCGAAGTTCTCATCTGGATCAGCTGATCCAGCGAGAGACTCCGCGTGTTGTATTCCTTCAGTGCAGCGATAACTTCGGCGTGTTCGAGTCGCCTCCCGCGGTACGCTGATAAACAAACGTGTTTCGCGTCCTGAAACTTGACAAATCATATTTCTCCCCTCGAAATTTCTGAACTGTGCCGCAGAAAAACCTACTCCTTCGATTCTCAGTGAGTGTTGTGTCACAGTGATTTACCAAGACATCCTGAGACCACAAGAAATCCTGCGAGGGTGTTTCCGTTCTCCTTGCAAAAACACGTGTGGTTCACGACAGAATGTGTTGATAAGCTAACACTAGCCGGCTAGTATTCGGGAATCGTGCGTGTATTTATGTGCTGTTTCGTATAACTTTCGGTCATTTGATCGCGTATTATTGTTTTACATTATCTATCTTTTACGCCGTCTGGTAGTTTCACAGTGATAGTGAAGCAAGCATTTTGGATCTTCTCAAATTACTTTACACGATCCCTTGACCCTGCAAATCCTTATCTGCAGGCCTATAATAGAGCTTACCCTAAAGCTAATCATTATCATCGTTGTTAGTGGTGCAATCATCGGTTTCTCATTTAGCCCAAACCATTAAATCTTTCATGTCGGTATGACAACAATAACCTACTCGTGAATATTTTGGATCATTGTTTACTTTTGCCGTGCGAATTTTCCATAGTGCTTGTGTGTGCGTGAGTGCTTTCAGTTTCGAACCCTTCCTTCGATTTCAATCCATTCGTCGACTAGTCATACAAACCGTGCTACTCACTCGTTCAATCGCGTATTCTCATCTTCGTTCTGTTCTTATCTAATCAGAGATTTTCGATCTAATCGTAAATGCACTTTTTGAGGCATAAGCCGTGCTACAAATACTACATCCCCGATGTGTTTTCCTCACGTATTCCTTCGTATAGAATGCCATAGTTTCACTGTCATTCAGTCGCGAGATTCTCATTGAATCTGATAGTTGATTACCGTGCTAATTTCACTCCCCCGTCCGAAAGACGAATGTTTGCAAGTTAAGGGTTTCTAACCCTCAAAATTCATAATAGCCATCGTGTACAGTAAACCCGTTGACCTAGACCCTTCCAAGATGGCGGAAGAAGAGAAACCCGACCCGCACACCGAGTCGCCCCCTGAGCCTGCCGAGCGCCCCTCCCGTTCGGCGCGGAACCCCGAAAAACACCGTCCGACCAGAAGTGCGTCCGTCCTGGAGACGAAGCCGACCCGACCGGCCAGGAACAAATCGGTGTCGGTGACCGAGCCGCGAACGGTGCGTTTGTGTCGAACAGCCACCGTCCTGGAGACGAAGACCCTGGGGCCCCCGCGGGCCGGTGCCGGGGACGACAGGGCCCAGACCCTGGTGCGCCCCTGCAAGAGCGCCTCCGTCTCGGACGCCCCGGGCAAGACGGCCAAGCCGCGGAAACTGGCGCGGAAGCTGTCGCGGAGGTTGTCCATGGTCGCCAAAATGCCGGCCCTCTTCAACTCGAAGCAGATCAAGGGCGAGCTCGGATTCCCGAAACGATCCAGGAACATCGAGATCGTCGCTATCGCCCCCGATAAGACTCAGCGAAATGTAAGTTGATGGGGTTTTTTTTTTACTTGTTTGTAATAAATTGTTAAGAATCATTGGGTACCTATGTAAAATTTAAAAAAATTAAAAAAACTTTAAAACTTTCAAAAAACAAACTTCAAAATCACTCACTTGCATAAACTTTTTCAATTTTTGAAACGCGTCCGCTTCAAAAATTTAAAAAAGTTTATGCAAATGAGTGATTTTAAAGTTTGTTTTAAGTAAAAGTCTTTAAATTTTCGTAAATTTTTTAAATTTTTAAATTTTACATACTAAACAAGTTGTGTAGTGAAACTCCTTTATCATTTTCTCGAGAATCATTGGACCGTCGTTCTAGCGGAAAAGTTCGCAGAATATACAGGGGGAATTCGTCAGATTTTGGTCTTGACCAGACGGCTTATCTGGTGTGCTGTCGTGCCAAGGAAAAACGCCGTATAAACATTAAATTTCCTTCGATAAATTGTTTATTTTTGAGGAAAGCTATGAATGTTTTTCCTTGAAATTTTCACGAACTTCAGGTGAAATTGTGAACAAAATTATCTGAAAAATCGGAGGAAAAATATTTACAAATTTTCTCGAAAATTCGTGATTTACCCAAGGAAATTTGGCAGCGCCTGAAGGTTCATACGGCGTTTTTCCTTAGCACGGCAGTATGGTCATGTTAACAGGATGACGGAGGAAAGGCTGCCGAAAAAGATGCTCGGTTGGGTTTTTTCCTGGGAGGAGACGAAGGGGACGCCCAGTGAAAGGGTGTCGACAGGGGATTTTAGAAGAAATGTGGGTGTGCCAGCTCCTTGAAGAGCTTTGGGAGGATTGGGGACTTTGGCGGCTGGGCGTCGCAGAGCGCCAAAGAGCGCTATGAAAAGCGGCTGATACGCCTGTATTTGTTAGGTTTTTCCGAAAGTTGTGTCACTGCGGTAGAAAAGTCCAATTTTTAGGAGAAAAACTCTCCTCCTTTCAACTTTGTCCCCAAACGGTACTGCTCAGGGATTTGAATTCTGGTCAAAAACGGGATTAAGCCTTGGAATTTGTTTTATTCCTGAGACCATCTCTCTCCGGTTTTCCCCAATTATCGTCCTTGATGAACATCAACTTCACGATAAGGATCTCAAGATATTTTTTTTACGTATGCACCTATCGAGGATTTCAGTGAAAAAATTATTTAGTTTCTGCAGGTTTTTTTTCTTCTTCTCATTTTTCTTTTTTCTTTTTTTTTTTGAGAAAAAGACTCGGATGTGCGAAATTGCATCGAGGGTGAAAAATCAACAACAGGATTGAGTCAATGGGGGAGGTCGAACAAACTTTTGAAACTTTCAAAGTTTATAACTCCGTTTAATCACAACTTTGAGATTTTTAAAAGTGGTTCGGGTTCCATTGGTTTCCTAGTGAAATTTTCTTCAGAAAGCAAAACTTAAAATTTGAAATGTGACGAATTTAACATCAAAATTTGCAGTTTTAGTCAAAAATTTCATGCCCGACCTCTTTAATTGACCAGAGGCGTGGCGTGCTTTGCGATTTATCGATTGATACGCCACTCAAACCCATGAAAAAAATCGATTATCAGGGTGTTCGCAGCAAACACATTAGTAATCGATTCTTTACCATAGCTTCAATTGGAGAGATATCGACAATCGATCATTTACGCCACGCCACTGTAATTGACTCTCATCCACTGTGCCGCGGCCGAGAAAATAATCGATAGCCAAGCCATCAAAAAAAGGGAACTTCCAGTGTATCGTAATCGACGGAAACGGTCAGGGCGAAACGCAATAATTCACCAAATTTGAGACCAAAAATGTCGACCACCCACCAATTTGGAGCAATAAAAGCTCCCAGCGCCGCGACTTCGATACCTGAAAACCGGTCCGGGCGTCATCGCGAAGTATGAGTACATATGGTCGATCGCGATCGTCGCCCGGAGCCTCGCGCGAGTCGATCAGTGTGTCGTCGGCTGTCCAANGGGGGGGGGGGGGGTGTGGACGTCTTGTCTGCAGCTCGTCTGGTCTCCCAAATAAATGACCAGCCCCAACTTTCTATTCGGCGCAAGCGGAATTTATTCTTGTCGTTTTATGCGCGCGCGTTATTAATTGCCGGCGCTCCGTCGGTCGCGCAAATTTCGCGCGGTATCCAGAATAGGCGTGTGGAGATCACGATGCACGCACTGAAAGAAAAATCTCGGTGTATTTACTAAGAAAAAGGTAAAATTACCAAGAATTCAGGGTTCTATTCGATCCTAGTTTTTTCTTGGTAAAATTACCATTTATGGAATTTTACCGAGAAATCTCGGTAAAATTATTGAACCTTGTCGGTAATTTTACTGGACCTTGGTAAAAACGCCAAAATATTTTATCGACTGTGGTAGAATTACCGAGATAAAATGGCAAAGTTACCGGGAATTGATTACCAATAAAAGTGGTATTCTTACCTGAAAAAAAAAAAACAGTAAAAATACCGGTTTTAAGGTAAGCTTACCAGTCTGTCTCGGTAAAATTACCAATAATTGGTAAAAAAAAAGTGAGATGGTAAAGGTACCAACGGACCGTGGTAAAAACGCCGAGAATTTTTTTTCAGTGCGGTGGAACGAACTAATGGTAGAGGTCGGACACGACAATTTTGGCTAAAGTTTCAAATTTTGATGTTTATTTCGTCAAAAATTCAATTTCAAGGTGGGTAAGTATCTGGGAAAGGAAATTTTACGAAAAAACCGACGGAACAACTCTTGAACTTTAATGTTTCATATTTTCGAAAGAATAAAGCTTTCGAAGTTTCCAGATTTTGTCCGACTTCTTCTATTGACTCGGTCCAGTGTGCGATGGTGCGAAATGCAACTGTCAGAGAAAAAAGGGACTTGAGTTGATGGAGGCAAAATTTTCGGTTTAGCGATTTATGGCTATAGTTTGGTCCACAAATTGGACCAAGAAATCGACGAAAAAGTCCCGAACAGTTGCTTGGTGTGCTTCGCGATGAATCGAGTTATCTAACATTTAAACCTATAAAAAAGGGTCGATAAAAAGGGTGTCCGCAACGTTCCCTATGCACATGAGTGCTTTTCCGAATGAGCCGGAAATTGTACGTCCTGATTGCACATTGAAGTCCAATTAATCAATTTAGCAAATGGAAGATCATCTGAAGGACCAATCAAGATTCATCTGTAAGGACCGTATCGATGGTGAAACTGCAAAAATGCGTATCTCGGTTGCGTTGTTTCAAAATCTCCGCTCCTATTTTATTTTTTAAGAGGAAACTGAACCAACACCATGGTTTGAAATAGTCGTTGAATATTCTTCACATGAAGACGAAAAATCACCGAGGTTTTCAAGAAATGACGTCCAGTGGTTTTCTATATTAAGAATGGAGTATGAAGGGAAGTCTGCAATGCCGCAAACTGATTTACGTATTTCTGCAGTTTCACTACAGATATATAGTGTTATAGATGAATCTTGATCGGTCCCTCAGATGATCTTCCATTTCTAAATTGATTAATTGGACTTCACTTTGCAATTAGGACCTATAATGTCTGGCTCATCCAGTGGCGTGGCGTGAATTGCGATGTATCGATTGTTATGCCATTTAAAACTATGGTAAAAGAATCGATTATTAAGGTGTTCGCTGCGAACACCCTGTTTATTGATCCTTTTCCATAGGATTGAATGGCATAACAATCGATATATCGCAAAGCACGCCACGCCACTGGGCTCATCCGTAGAAGCACTCATGTGCATAGGGAATGTAATAGTGCATACGATGTTCCTAAACTGAGCCAGAAATTGTAGTTCCTGATTTCCAAATGAAATCCGACCGACTATTAACTAAATGTTGTATTCGTAAATTTTGAACGCCGGATTTGTTTCGTTATATTTTGAATTTTCCCCCGTAACTGTTTGTATGGATGAAAGCGGATGGTGAATTTTAAAACGGGCACATACATAATCATGCCGGTGCGGTTAGAAATTATTGGGCCAATGAGGAAAGTGGGTAAATAATGCTTCTGGAAAGTGAGTCTTTTCCTTTTTCGGCATTATTCCCAGTTTTTTAATTCGGTGTCGGGCCGGTTCTCGTATCGATATCTGCAGCTTTTAATTTTGTGCTCAACATCATCAATGTCGTAGAATCCTATTTTTGAACTGTCCTTCAAAATGCCAACATCTACTCAGAAATATTTACAATAAGAAGTTCAATATAAGTTCAAAATATACATTTAACTGATCTCAGAATTTTGGTACGCTCCTCCTTCTTTTCCTTTCTTTTTTTCTTCTGAAGCGTGGAAGAGAGTGAACTATTGATTCCAGACAAGTGTCACACATAACCGCTGGCAAAATGGCGGACTCAACGCGATATTCTAATAAAATACGCGTACTTCTCACTTTTCTACAAAACCGCTGGAAAAATCTCGTGTTAGCGTAAAAAACCCTGATCTTGAGATATAAGTGGCGTATAATTATTTATGTTTTTACGAAACCGCCGGAAAAGTTGCGTATTTTTGAAGTGAACACGGGCATTGACGTAAAAATGTCTCATGAATCAACAGTGGCTAGAGGGGACACCGAGCGCGCAATTATTCGAACTCCGGTGTAGTCATGTGGTATCACGTGAATTGAAGGAAAATCTTACTTTTTTGCCTGTCTCAAATCCTACGAATGCAGTTATAATGCTTGCATTGTTAAATGCGGATATCAAGCGCGCAACTCCGGTGTATGTATATAGTATCACTCGAAAATGAAGGAGAATGTTAGCTTTTTGCCTGTCTCAAATTACTAACGTTTATGAATGCCGCAAAATTTATTTGAAAATGTTCTCGACTCTCTTCCCGTTTTTATCATAAATGAAGTATAAATATTGCTCAATTGCGACATTTTGGAAACTCGGTGCATTTTAAATTTTTTCTTTTGTAAGTAGTATGAAAAAAAAAGAAAAGAAAACAAGAACGAACCAATATATCTCCTTTAAATCCTCTGTGATTTATTGACATACCTAATTGAATTCACCTTTGGATACCTCTCGTC